GCAGGGACTCAGGGAATGGAGTCCCTCTCATTGTAAGTGAAGATCAGGTTCAAGACCAACTGAGGAACCTGAACACATATAAGTTCATGGGAACCAAAGAGATGTATCCAAGGTTCCTGAGGGAATTTGCTGATGCAATTGCCAAGCCACTGCCTCTCTCCACCATATCTGAAAAGTCATGGTAGTCAGGTGAAGTCCGCAGTGATTGGAAGAAAGGAAACATTACACTAATTTTTAAAAAGGGAAACAAGACAGACCATGGGAACCAACAGTGAATCAGCCTCACCTCTGTGCCTGGTAAGATCATGGCAGAGAACCTTCTGGGAGTTATGTCAATGCATATGGAAGACTGGGAAGTGGTTAGAGACAGCCAACATGGCTTCACTGAGGGCAAATCATACCTGATTAAGCTAATGGCCCTCTACAATGGAGTGACTGCATCAGTTGAGAAGGGAAGAGCTACAGATAACATTTACCTAGACTTCTGTAAGGCCTTTGATACAGTCCCCGACAACATTCTTGCCATTAAATTGGAAAGATATGGACTGTTAGATAGATAAAGATGGAGGGCCACATCTAAAGAGTTATAGTCAGTAACTCTATGTCCAAGTGGAAGCCAGTAATGAGAGGTGTACCTCAAGAATCTGTACTGAGACAAATACTATTTAGTATCTATATCAGCACATAAGACAGTGGGACTAAGTACATCTTCAGCAAGTTTGAAGATGACACCAACATGAGTGGTGCAGTAGATTCACTTAAGTGAAGGGGTGCTAGGTGGAGAGATCTGGACAGGCTTAAGGAGTAGGCCCATGTGATCCTCATGGGGTACAACAGGGCCAAGTGCAAGGTCCTGCACATGGGTCAGGGTAATCCCCCTATACAGACTGAGGGGTTAATTGGTTAAGAACAGCCATGTGGAGTAGGACTTGGGGATACTGGTAGAAAAAAAGCTGGACATGACCCAGCAATGTGCACTCGCAGGCCAGAACGCCAACTGTATCCTGGGCTGCATCAAGAGGAGTGTGGCCAGCAGGTTGAGGGAGATGATTCTCCCCCTCTGTTTTGCTCTCATGAGGCCCCACCTGGTGTATTGTGTCCAGCTCCACGTCCCCAGTACAAGACAGATTTGATCTGTTAAAGCAGATCCAGAGAAGGGCCATGAAAATGGTCAGAACACCTCTCCTGTGAAGAAAGGCTGAGAGAGTTAGGGTTGTTTATCCTGGAGAAGACAAGGTTCCAAGGGAGACCTTACTGTGGCCTTTCAATAGATATAAGGGGCTTATATGGAAGATGGAGAATGACATTTTACCAGGGCATGAAGTGACAAAGAGCAATATTTTTTAACTGAAAGAAGGTAGATTTAGGTTGGACATAAGGAAGAAATTTTTTTTACAGTGAGAATGGTGAGACACTGCAACATGTTGCACAGAGAAGCTGTGGATGCCCCATCCATGGAAGTGTTCAAGGCCAGGTTGGACGGGAATTTGAGCAACCTGATCTAGTGAAAGATGCCCCTGCCCATGTCAGGGGCATTGGACTAGGTAATTTTTAGAGGTCCCTTCCAACCAAAACCAATCTATGATTCTATGATACAGTATATATATTAATAATTATATAAGAAGAAACATTACCATCCACAGCCAACCAAGTGCATTTGGATTGTAAGGCAGTATATCTATATTGTTGAAAAGCCTCCTTTAAGATTCTTTCAATTTACTGTTAATAGAGGGAGATTTGTACCTGCTTTGGTCCTTGGAGAAAAACTCCTAATCCAGGAAAAAAATAAAACAAGTATCTTCTTAAACAAACAGTGACATAAGGTTTATAAGATTGTGCCTGTGTGCTCAAAGCAACATTAGTTTACTTGGACACTCAGTGCATGAGAAAGGTCCAATACCAACAGCTTCCCAAAGGGTCTAGCAAAAGTGCAATGGGACTTGCAGCAAGAAACCATGGGGTTGGAACAGATGACCTCTCAAGGTCCCTTCCAAACTCAACAATTTTATGACTCATAATCAATGTTGCCTTCCTTGCTCCATCTCCTTTTGAAGAAGAAACTCTAGATACAATGCTGATTTAGGCCATCCAAGGTTCAGTTCAGCTGATGTCTAATGCATCACACTGTCAAGGGAAAAGCTTGATGTTATATTGTTAACTATTTTAGGAATGTGACTAGGAAGAATGGGAGACATTGCATAGATAGAGTGAGAACAACTCTCTCTCAAAAAAAAAAAAATCTGTAACTGCAAAAGAGTAAAAGATAAATTTATCCGAGCAACCAACATAATGGCTAATCCCAAACATAACTTAATTTAAAGCAAGGCACTGCGAAGTTCTGTTCCATATTTGCAAGGCAGTAACAAGTGCCCATTCTAGCCACTCATTCCTGGTGCTTGTGATAATGCAAGGGGAAATGGCTGTTCAGCACAGAAAAAAAAACAGCAGACAGTGTGAAGACATCCAAAGGAGCTTAGGCAAGAGACAGTCAAAAACTAACTGAGTACCTTAATCACCTTCTTTGCTTGCTACGCAGGCTGAGAGTCACAAAATTCAATAATGATAATAATACTGATAATAATAATAGTAAACATTGCTAGGCCACCCTGTGTGCCGTGGTTCAACAATCAGGTGCTCTCCATCAAGCCACGTCCTAATCTTAGAGGTGTACACATTCACAAAAGCTTCAATTAATTCATCCTCTTGTTATACACTATGCTAACAAAAAGTAACACTAATGAAAGTATTAACTTCTCACACATAAGAGAATTTTTGAGGGAGAACATTTCCGAGGCTTGTATCTGTTGGACAGAAGTGGAAAATACAAATAATGATAAAAAATAAGTCACTACCATGTTCCACTTCTAACTTCTCATGCCCTGTCCAAAGAAAGTAACAACCACATCAAAATAACCCCACCCCAAATCTAACCAGGTCACTAGGAAGAATGAAGCTGCTGAGTGGGAACTAATACAGTTGAAAAAATTCCAAATATTTAGATGAATAGGCAAATCAAAAACTTAGCTGCTCATGAAAGCTGACAGAAAACTGCTTTATCTTGGATAGCCTGGGTGGCACTGGCTGAGCCTATCCTGAATGTCTCCTATACACTGCCCAAAATCTAAGCCCCCGTGCAGCATTTTGCACTGTTTTCTAGGCCACCCACTCAGACATGGATATGCAAACCACATGTGCTAGGAATGTCTGCCCTGCACTGAAAGTAATATCAGCATTATGACCTTATTACTTGTGCAGCCAGGCTTTTAATACAACTTGTTTTATCTTTTCGATACCTTTGATTCTTTAACGGTCTGTATGTAGTCTCTCTACTTGACATTAGATGCTTAAGATTTGAAAGGGGAATGTAACTGTTGGAAAAAAACACCATTATCAGAGTGAAAATAATTTCAGTGGATTTTTCCTTTCCTAAAGCGGTAGGTTTTATTTCTAGGTCTTACTAAAAAGATGTAACTGACAGCTTCATAAACCTACTATTTCCTAAACAGGACCCAGACCTTGAATTCTGTTTCCCCGTGAGCAAAGATAAAAGGTAATAATTTATTTCTCACTGTGATGAGAAGGGTAAAGTTTACTAGTGGAAATTCCAGCTTTATAGTATCAGTTCTCTGAAGGAACATATGAAAATGCATGGCCCATTTGATGTACCATTCAGGATAGGGTTACTTCCAGTCAGAATTATACTGAATGATGATGAAAATACATCTTCTGCTCTATTCACAGACCTACATTTGACTTTTCTCAGATTTCCAGATTGGAAGAATTAAAACTAAATTAAGAATGAAAAATGAAAGATTATCACTTTGCAGCAGAATCAATCTGGCTGAGGTAAAACATAGAATATAAATAAGATGCAATATTCAAATATATGCTAAACAGACATTATCATCTCAAACCGTAAAACAGCTTAGATTTTTGTATGATGCTGCAACACATCTCTCTCTCAAGTCAGCAACAACATAGCAGTGAACTGAAGAAGCTGCCACTCTGCAAGCTCTCACCCTATCTCATAGCAGACAGAACTGCTGACCAGCAGACTATATTCTCTATGTTAACATACGGAATCACATCCAGCTACTGAGGGATCTCTTCTTTACTCTATTTCTTTTTTTTTCTTTTTCAGTTCCTTCTCCCCAAAGAGCATTGTTCTCCCCGTGGTAATACTTCTCTTTCCTTCCTAGTCACAGTGGCATTTCTTGCTGCTCAAGTGAATGCAAGGCCCTTATGTGATTGTGCTTTGATGTTAATTTATCTGCTTACTCAGACACAGAGCCAGCCTTATAAATGTCATTGGTTTAGCTGTGTTAATGCACTGATTAACTCCCAAGCACACACAAAAGCATTGCAGATGTATGAGGTTTACTCCCCATAATCTATTGGTAAACCTTTTATGCCTAACAGTAAAGCTTCTTGGTATAGTATACAGAATAGCTCCCTGGTGTACACTACATTCTACTGTACACTGCTTAACAATTAAGAAAACTATTGAGGCTCATAAAATCACATGCCTTGCATTTGTTAAACTTTGGCACATGGTTTGCAAGGCTTATTTTTGCAGTTCCTGATAGCTCCTGTTATAGCTGAAAGTCTGACAAAGTTTTCACTCAAGTCTCAATTTCAGTGTATTGCACTACAACAAACTGTGAAAATCGGTAGACTAATGAACAAGCACAAAATAACATGTCGCTCTATAGACTGAAAAGAGTTTGCTAAAAGATACAGTTTGCTGTTAAACTACAAGTAGTAAAAGATAAGATATGATGTGTAGGAATAAAAACTGTATGAAGCAAATCAAATACCCTACTGTCAGAGCAGTGTCTGGACTAAGATAATGCATATCAGTCCAGTTTTCTTTTCAAACCTTTAATTTTGCAAACTATGTAAGGGGCTTGAAATCACCCGGTCATTCAAAACCCCAAAACACTAGTATAGCTTCTAAGAAAACAAGATGATACTTACCAAGTAAGGAACGACGACCCAAACCAGATTGTGAACATACTTTATTTCACTGTGAGAATGGGAAAGAAGGACAATGGGTCAGGCAAAACCCAAGAATCTGTTATTTCCTTCCAACTAAAAGAAACTTTAATAGAAATATACTGGGCTTTCCAAATGCACTGTACTGTATGAACTCTGATTCTGGAATTGAAAGCATAGACTTAACCTAGAAACTCCCAACCAATGAAAAGAGAGAAATGATCAACCACTTCTTACAATCCAAAGGCTGAAGACTGAGCATGGGTTTTGTTTTACCTTGGAAGACTCTTCCCACTTCGGTGTGTGCCCCTTCCTACTTTATTGATCTTTCTCTTTAGCATGGACTAAGATGGCCTTCAAATCTAGATAATATTGATATTTTTGTAAAGCCTATCAGTGGATTCCAGCTTCTAAAAAGATATTCAAATTTGTCTGCCCAATTGGACATCCAATTTCTGATGTGAAAAGTTAATGGTGAGATGAAAACTGTCCTCACTATTGTATACAACCCCTGTTCTAATAATATTGACTCATTTATGCTAAAAATGATACTTAGATATTGCAACTTACTGCTAACCTCTCTCTGGCCATATCAGTGAATTAATCCAAATTCTCACATATAACTTCATTTTAAACAGTTTGATGTTAAGTAAAACACCAAAACATTTATTGCTGAAACACTTTATCCCATCCCAAAGAACAATGCGCATATAAGTCAAAGACTTGGAAGGGTATCTTATTTTTTCTTGAATAGAAATATCAATGTCTGAAATTAAGTGAACAATGATTTATTTTGTTTCTGCATACAAAATTAGATGAAAATAGCTATTTTTTTCTAATTTAGATCAGCACTTAGTAACTCTTATTCTATCAGAATTCTGTGAAAAAGTCAACACACGCGCACACACACAACTGCAGTCTATTTTCTTCCCTCTCTCATTGAATTAGAAAATTTAAGAGTTTAAGGATGATCCGCAATTTGCATGAAATTCAGCACTACCATGATAGTGTAATTGCTGTCACCTCCCTTTTATGTCTATTATCCTATTTGCTGTTTTCTTCCACCCCTTTTCTCAGTGTATAATAAAGCTTATCTGGTATTTTAAGGGTAAAATGATTCATTTCACCATTTCTAACAGTGCAATAGTCATACTAGAAGTATCATGGGATTCTTCCACTCCTGAAACTCAGTGAGTTTTTACCACAAAACTTAGTTATAAAAGTCAAAATGGACAAAATTCCATATGTATCTGGTATAACTAAAAGATAGGAAGTTGAACACACACTAGAAGACCAAACGTTTTTAAGGTTGCTTTTCGATTTCCAAACATTTTCATATAAAATAATCAATAAAAATTGAAGTTTATCCCCTTCACGTGCACCCCTTCTCCCTCCTCACCATCACCTGCCTTATGTCAAAAGTAACTTTAAAATTACACTCCCGCTCCTCCCCCCCACTTCCCAATTGCACATTAAGACATGGACTTAAAAGAACAACATAACGCTTCAAGTATGCTTCATGCCAATCGTCAATAAGAGTCATAACATTACTGAAAAAGTACACTTATTCTTGGGAAGCCTGAGAAGGACTTCCTGCAGAGTGTAATCAAACATTTTAAATAAGATAAAAGATCCCCAATCCAATCTGTATCACACCTTCTCAAAAAGAGTAAAGTGTAAAATTTTCTTTGGACTTAAAGAAACAGTATTAAGATTTACCATCTGAATAAGAAATAACCCCAATAGGAATTTAGTTTTACAGTGCTGCACAAACTGCGCATGAAACAGTCATACAGATACTATTGTTCAGTTCTACACATACAGACTACATGTGGCACATAAGCATACACATGACATACTGGCCTGTCCAGAAACAAGGTACATTTTTTAAGGCTGGTAAACATGAATAAACCTTTGCATCCAGAAGTAATTTTTTAATTCTTTTCATTGGGGAATTTGAACTTCTAATAGAAGGGTGATGATTTCATCAAGAAACCATCAGCAACATGACACCACGAAGCTTTGATGTGAAACATCCTCTCATCTGATCATACACAGACAAGGATCCTGATTTTAAGGAGTAATGGATAGTATGAAAGAATACTCATTTTTATGGACAGGAAATCCTTCTGGAAACAGAAGTAGGTTACTGAACAGATACCAAAATCTGGAAAGTGTAAAAAGCATATATGCATGTGTGTGTATATACATATATATATATATGTATATACACCCATATATACGATGTATCATATGTATTTATTCCAACATGTAACTATATAACAACATATTTTTTTCTCTTCAAATAAAGGGTTTTCATTTAGCAGTTGTAAAAAAAAAATCCCCAAAAAACCCCCAAACAAACTAAGCAGACCATGTACTATATGAACAAACAAAAATGTTATACAAACAGTTCTATAGTAAAAGTGAGTCACACACTGGCAGCAGAGGAGTGTTGAAACTTGTAGTAATAAATAACTCCAAATTAAGAATTTTCTACAATATTTCCTTAGAAGACAGGACCAGTATTTTTTCTTCTATGATGATCCTGCAGAACACTTCCACTTATATATATTTAATTTTATAACATTAAAACAGACACAAGAATGTAGACTGCAAAAGATGCTGGATTCAGGACAGTATACATAACATTTTTTGTTAAACGTCTTACTGGTTTATTCACTAAGGCTAGACAGCAAGTCCTGTGATCCTATTTGGTATGTTTTCTACCATGGTCATGGATAGAACCAAGGACCTGAGGTCCAATCTGCTGTGGCAGACAGGAAACAAAATACAGGACCACTGTTTGGTCCCCAAATTTGTATCTTGTTTCCTGGAACTGCAGAAGTGGAAACAAGACTGCAGTGTTTTAAGTGACTAGAGAAAGATAGCAAGAAGTGGCATTTTAACATGAATAAGGATACTAGGCTTTTGATAGTACTGCATCAAAAGAGCACACATGAGTCCCTACTTCTTGCAACATCTGGTAGTGTCATTCAGTGACTTGTTGACTTTAGAATACACGTATGCAACAATAAATAGATCAATTATGTAATAAGGCAGTGTGTTGAACATGCATTCATCTTGTGGACTGGAACACCACAGAGAGAGATACATGACAACCATACACATTCATTAAGACCAAATATTTTTGTTTGGTTTTGCGTGTCTGTTTTTCAAGGCTATCCAAACTCTTCCAGAGCACTTTCTTCTTGAGAAGAGTGGTCCTCTGAGTCTTGTCAATTTTCTTCTACCTTATCAAGAGATGATGACAGACTTTAAGGAAAAATAAAGCTGAAGAGGGTTGTTTTGTTTTTTCACCCCATTTTTGTTGCATCATTCTGAATGTTTCATTTAAAGAACAGTATTTGATGATGAATCCTCAGGAAGTTCCAGATGTTTCCAGATAACTCTGTAGTTTACGGACTGTGGTTTTGTCCAGTGAGCAAAGATCAAAGTCAAAGGTAGTATTTGTAATATGAAAGTGTCCAGTTTCTTCTATAAGATTTACTATCTGAAAAGAAAGAAAAGATGCAGTTGAAAATTTCAGCAGTTTTACCTGCCCACTGAATGTATTAACATGCCACTAAGTATCATATGAAAGGCATAGAACAAGCCCATTGCCCCAGTACTTGCAAGTTAAATAATTATCCTTATCATTCACTTCATTTATGACACGAACTATGGTCCAGACTACAGTACCTCAGTGGTTTTTTTTTAAATCATCATCAGCCATAATGCCAGCTTACCCATCTCCTGTTCCAGCAAACATTATCTTCAAGAATATGTTTCTCAAATGTTAAAAGAAAATCTGCATATTTTCTAGGTCAGTCTTCAGGAAAAAAAAAAAAAAAAAAAAAAAAAAGAGCAATACTCCCCCTGGTCCCCAAGCACAAGAAAATAAAAAAAAAACCAGGTAGATCTCTCTCTGGAATATTTACTGTATGCATAGCTGCTAAGCAGGTTACTTTACAAAATAATTGCCATAAGTCTTTCTGCAAGCAAGGGAAATAAATAATTCATGACAGAATCTAGTCGATATCAAACAAAAAATGTATTCAAGAGCCCTCACATCAACTGTTAGTTCATGTACTAGCAGTTATTTCTTGAGTAACAGACTTAAATATTTTTTTTTAAACAAAACAAACCTTGAAAGGTTCCTACCCATGGCATAGGATCACTTCTTCTGGTGACTATTTAGTCTATAATCACAGCTTCCATTCTAACAAGAAACAGAAGAGCTGCTAGGAGTTCTTGAGAAGAATATGGACTAAAACATCTCCCCTATTAGGAAAGGCCAAGAAAGCTGTCTCTTCATCCTGGAGAAGAGAATGCTCAGTATGGTTCTTATCGACGTGTACAAATACCTGAAGGGAGGACACAAAGTGGACAGAGCCAGGCTCATTTCATTGGTGCACACTGACAGGACCAGAAGGAATGGGCACCAGCTGAAACACAGGAGGTTCCTTCTGAACATCAGGAAACACTTTTGTCCTGTGAGGGTGACCAAGCATGGTCATAAGTTGTCCAGGGAGGTTGTGGGGCCTCCATTGCTGGAGATACTCAAAAGTCATCTGACATCGTCCTGTGCAACCGGCTTTACATGTCCTTGCTTCAGCAGGGGTGAGTCAGACTCTCCAGAGGTCTCTTCCAACTTCAACCATTCTATGATTTTGTGAAATCAACAATATGAACCTAACTTTTGCTTTTCTGCGGTTTTGACAGTTTTTGTAGTAATTTTCTGCGGTTTTGACTTGTAGTCATTAGACTCTGAACTGTAGTCACTAGTCTCTGAACTGTAGTGATTTTTAAAGAGTGGTCATACTCGACACTGAGTTGCTGTAAGAAGTAACTCCAGATATGCTAAGCTCTAGGATGTGCACCTACCTAAAAAAACCCATTCAGCATCTTGGAAAATCAAAGCATTATTTGTTAGACAGGGCTAAAAGTGCCAACACACTATGGCTATGAATCTCTTATGTACTGTTTCATTCCAAGACAGACATCCCAAGTGAGCACACAAAAAGGCACCCCATACTGAAATGGGCCTCTGTGTCGTGTCATGGACTGACATAACATTCTCTTCTGTTCAGTCTTTCCAACTGTCCCTTCTGAGGCACTCAGGCTAGGCTCAATGTCCTGTTTATATCCTTCAATTTGAAACCCATTTAGTTCCACGGTTTCCACATATACCTCCACTGAAATGCTAATGCTAGATATTCCTTGCTCATTTGAGCTTTATTACTCTGACAGTAATTTCTTTTCCATGGCTGGAGAAGATACAGATGTATGCACACATGGCTTACAGAGCATACCTTAAAATGACTGATCTAGGTGTAAGAATACACCAACTTGAAAAGGAACAATGAATTTAAACTAAATCTTTTATAATTTTATGCTCCCCATTTCATTATATAAACAGATGTTTTTCTCCTCAGACAACAGAAGAAAAGACTATGTTGATGATAAATGAAATAATTCCATGTGTATTGTCAGGCATGAAATGACACAGCCCAGGGTGGATTAAACAGAGTGGAAACAAGATATAATAAGAGGGAAATGCCTGTTACAGTAAAAATCCCCCTTTCCAATCACCTCCCTTTTTCCAGGTTGGGAATAAGTAAGAGTAAAATCTGCTTAATTTGCTTTGCAGCTGTCTAAAATTCTGAAAGTACTTAGAAATAATCCTGCTCTTATTAACACTTTATTTAAAATCTGTGCCTTTTGGCTTTATTTTTTTTCCATATGGGAATTTTTAATCTAAAATTGCCAACTTCATTTGTCCACTTGTTGATTCACAGATTCTTGTAACACTTTTCCATCTCCTACTGTTCTGCAATTAACATGAGGGAAAAAGTAAATCAAATGGATCAAAACTGATTGTTACCAGAAGGAAACTCTGATATGCGTTATTTGTCATTCTCATTTTTGGCACTCTCTTGAGACTCGTCTAAGAGAGAAGTTAAGGAGTCAATTCAGCTTTCGTTTGTAAAGTTAGGAATCTAATCCCAGGCTTGGTCTCTGAATATTCACTGTATGATAAATAAATGACTGCAAAACCAGTTTACAGAAGCTGGGACCACAAAGATGTAGTTATGCTGAACAATTCTGCCTAACGTTTCCTTGCATTATGGTGGAAGAATACCACCCCCCTCATAGCCCCCAGAGCAATATACCTGATTTCAGAAACAAAGATTATATGAAAGCATTAACACATGTATTTTTAAACAGCACTGTATATTTTAAAAAATTGATAAGCACTTTTATTGGTCAGGTTCTGCTTTGGGCTTTTAAGCTTAGGCCAAGGGAAATAGAAACATTTCAAACATATCCCTCATCCAGCCCTCAAGAAATACAGCCACTATGTCAGGGAACCTGGTGAATCAGATGGAAATGAACCCTGAAAGTTTTAATGAATGTACAAAAATGTATCAAGATAAATCCAGACAGCTCAATGAAAAACACCTGCCTGTGTGCCAGTGAATGAGGAATTCATGACTTACAGAATTAGCATATGCATCCTTATGCTATTCAGAAATACTTGAAAAAGAATAAAAGGTTGAGATTATTTATCAGGAAGTCTGTCAGTTATAATATTAAAAACACAGCATTAAAATGTTTTATTCTGAGAGCTCAGAATGCAAAGAACAAAAATATCCCATTTGCTTCTGCTGTAGTAAGCTCTGCTTTTCTGCTGTAATATACATGTCTGTTTACATTATGTCTATCTAGCTCAGTTTCACCATTATACATCACAGTACAACTATTTATCTGCCTTTAAACAAGCAAATGAGTGTGCTTGTTTAAGGAAGCCAAAGTGCAACAAATGACATAGTCTTTTTTCAATTTATGGCAGGTTTTAGGCCCTGTGATAGTTTCCAGACCTGCAAGCTGCCCCTTGAGAAAATGCTCAGAAGATAGTTGCCATCTGAGGTTAAGCACCTCATGGATGTGAGCAATGTAATTTTCAGCAGAGCTGCATACTCACAATTTCTTCCTTATGCCTGTGCTGTCTAGTGCACTGACTTTAAGGAGATTTTTCACCAGCTGAAGATACAACTTCTGGTGCCTCAAAATTAGAGGCAAAGTCTTACCAGAAATCTTGTTGCCTTTCATGGGGTTATGCTAACATCATCTGCATTGAAAATACAGAGTTAGGAACCTAGCTTTAGCCAGCCAAATTTTAATATATGAGATATGCAGCATTAATATGTGATTGCAGACTCAGTTATCCCTACTACTTCACAGGAAATCACAGAGTTTAAAAAAAAGAAAAAGGTGCCTAATCACTGTAAATTGCAAACGCTTTCTTTACAGTGAAAGAGGTGGGAGAAATATTTCTTTTCTAAATGTAATTTCACACCAATTTCTGTCCAGCAATGGTCCAGTATTCACATAAAAATTGCTCAGGTGATTCTCACAGTACTAATTTCTTGGTCAAATGTTCTTTTTCACCTGCTTTATCCCTCTTGGGCAATTCTTTTATTTCTCTAAGTATCATTTTACATCAGGATTACTTAGCTACATATCCAGGCACTTGTAGCTCAGTATTACATCTCTCCTGACTTCGCCTTTGTTTTTGTAGATTTATTTCAGCTTCCTTTAACAAACTGTCTCAAAGAGAAATATCTCTATTGGGAAAGAGCTACATTCTCAAAGAGATACATTTTTTCTCATTTTCAGCTTGGCTGCATTCTTGTTTGCTGTCATGCCTATGGACGTGGTAACAACTGAGATTGCAAAAACCTGTCCTCGCCTTCTCACATCCCTTAGCATAAGTTTCAAAAGCTAGCACTTTTGAATGATCAATGCCTTCATTCTTCTCTTTCAAGTTGCTTCTCTAAAAGTACCATAGAAGTCTGTGGGTAGCAGACTTTGACATGTGCAAGAGATTATTACCTGCCCTGACATAAATTGAAGAGATTACAGTCACCACTCAGAACACACGACTCCATCGCCATTCAACTTCACCACAGCTACTGCCTTTAAAACTCTTACAGTTTTCTGCTGCGTAAGTTTGCACTCAATCCCTCTCCTCATGTAGTAATCACCATCCCTTTCCGCAGTTTTCCCCCTTGCTCTCATGACCTTTGTATTTCCTGTAGTCTCTATATACTTGTATTTCTTGGTCTAGAAGTTTCATAAACATACCTAAAAACTTTCTCAGCTCTGTACTCTTTTTAATTCTGTGCTCACTGGAGGCACTTAACATTAATTACATAGCTGCGAAGCAATAAAGACATTTAAGATGGGATGACAGTTTATTCATAATACAGAGAAGCACTGATTCTCTACAAGTTAGCCATTCAATATTTCTGTAAACTGAGAAAATCACATGGACTAATGAATTGCAAAATATTAAGGGATCATAGGCTTTAAAACTAAACTGAGTTATTTGTTTTATAACGGCATAGACCATTTGCTAGTGCAGGCTGGCTGACAGACAACTGGTAAGTAACTTGGCTCGTCCATTGAATTCTGGTAGACCTCCGTAGCCAGTATTATACACTTACCAGCTATCAGTACAGAACTGTACCACTGTCCTTGCCTACACAGTCCAGCCATAAATCCAGCTTCCACTGTTGCTGTATTGACAGGCTATGCACACTCCAAACCAAGGGAAATAATCTGCAAGAACAGTTCCCCACAAAGCAAGGCAACACTGATTCTGCATCAACTTAACTTTTTTAATATAACTAATCAAACACTATGCTATGAGAAGTCATGGACTACAGTATTAAAATTACACTCTTCATGCACATTGTGAGGCAAAGGTCAATGAATAAATGTTTTCTGGTCTTGTCTGATGAATACACTCAGGAGAAAAAAAAAAGTCTATCTTTAGTTTAAAATGCACAAGAATATACTGTTGTTTTTTCATCTACTCAGAACAGGATACTCTAAAATTCCAGCTTAGTTATGTATATATTTCTATGTACTATATATACTTTATTATGTACATATAATATATATAACATGTACAAATATATATTATGTATAAAGATATAGAAAAGTATATACCTAATATATATTTTATATACTATATATTAATATTATATAAAACTATATATTAGATAAAATATAAATAGTATATTACTATTATATAAAAATATTTTTATACATTACATATATAAATACACACTATATATACTATATTATCTATATATTTCTATATACTATATGTATAGTTTATCCATGTATTAGCAACTTCCCATGAAGAAGATCATAACAGTAGTCTAACATCAGACTGAAGAAGCTCTAGTGGATGAGGTAAGTATTTCTTCCCCACCAAATACACCTAAATGCTAGTAGATTAGAAAGAGGATTGTGGATTCAATCTGAACCATCTTACTTGCTTGGAAAATATTTCTTAGGATGACAGAATTCCAGTTGGAAGGGATTTTGCTAGTCTCAGCCCCTGTTTAGAGCAGGCTCAGCTGTAGGATCAGATCAGGCTGCTCCAGGCTTATCCAGTCAGGATTTTAAAAGCTCCAAGGATGGAAACAGCAGAGTCTCTCCAGGACTCTATTCCACTGCTAGACCATCCTCATGGGAAAAAAAAAGTGTTTCTTGCTTGTTTTTATCTTTGCGTTGCATAAAAAGTTTTGAAGATGTTTTTCTTTTTCAAAATTTCACATGACGCCACCTAAGCCCTATGGTCTGCAGGCTGTCGATACAGCCCCAAAGAAAGCTGGATTTATGGCCAGGCTGTGCAGGCTATGACAGTGCGTAATACTGACTATAAAGGTCTACCAGAAGTGAAACCACTCAAAACCTTTGACTTGGATGACTGGGGAAGTGTGTGCTCAGGAAGCTACGGTGTGAATTTACAATACAGTGGCTTTTTCAGATTCACTTTTTATGTGAACTCTCTAAGAATTAATGAATAATGTAAAGTGGAGAGGGTGCTGCAATTCCTACCTTTTAGCTTCCTGCACAGTAATTTCCCAATATAGAAAAAAATTTGCTTCTGCCACCATTCTGAAAGTGCGCTTTGGTTCCCTTTGTAGACAAATGGGAACTTGGGAAACAGCAGTACATTAAATATGAAGGATAACCAATATGTATCATTATGTATTGTAACTCATGAAATCTGACAAAGCTATCAGAATTCTCTTTAACTAAGAATATTCATAACCATGGTCTTCCTTCTCACTGATTTCTCAACTGTTTTCTCACCTTTACTCACAATATTGAGCCTGAACTAATAAAGAGATTAATGGTGGGGCTTACAAAATTTTTTAACACACTTATCCAAGTATTGAGAAACTTGATGAGTGATTTCAACCGTTTAGAAGTGGTAGAAATTTCCCTCTTTACAACATGTCCACAACTAGCACATAATTGCACTAAACATAATAAAGCCATCTGTGCTACAATTACATCTGCTTTGTTAACAGCATTTATTGTTTAATCTTCACAATTTATAATCCAATAGTACCTGACAATGCTGCCCAAAATAAAGAATACTATTCTTTGTTCTTACTATTGCATAACCTTCGAATAAATTGGGAGCCTTCTCGGTTTGCGCATTTTCATACGTTACTCATTCAATGACTTCAGAAGACTCAGTGAATGTATTGTGTTTTCCTCAAAGTGAGTTTTTCTTTGAATTCCATGTTTTCTGTTTGCCATATAAAACATCTTTAATTTTTTTCTGAGAAAATGCCAGTCATTTTCAGGAAAAAGCAATAAGATTTTTATCAAGTCATGGTGCACAGCTCTATCTATTCTCCCACCCTGTTTTCATAATTATTGATACAGTATGTTGAGAAACATATCAACGAATTGGTGAAAAACTCAACTCAGATAAGCAATTTTTTAATTTTGTCATTTAGTGTGACAATACAATTTAAAGTATGTGTAAAAATTCCCTGAGATGCACTGCAAGTGGTAATGGGCTGTATATGGATTATGCAGGCTTGAAGGATATTAAACCTGATTACAGATTTTTAGATGAAGGAAAAAAAAAGATGTGATTTCACAATTTCAATGGGTATTCTGTGATATTGCATGAGAGTGCTCCTCACCTGCTGCAGTACATGTCTCTCTCTCAATGTCATTAATCTTCTGTGGAGCTCTACTAGTTCATCGAGATATGCCTAGAAACAAAATTCCCCCACCCCCCATAAACAACTTGTTAATTAAGTCATAGCTACAGATTTCAAAAACTTAGATGCCTTGAAAAACAATACAAATGAAAATTTTATTTTAAATCTTTGAACTAAATTTTCTTATTCAGTAGTCTGGCTTTCCCTAACTTAATACAACTCAAACATAAGTTTTCTTAGATACTTCAAGCTGATGAAAATCTTATTAGGCGGTCCTTTACTGTAGAAGGTAATCTCTACATCTCAACTGTGGCAAAAATTGCCAAATAAACTGGGGGTACCAAAACAGCATCTTCAAAAAACATCTCCCACCTTTTGACATAAGACCCAAACCCAAAGGCTTACAATCAATTCCCTCTTTCTCTTTAAAGCTACATAATTATTTTTCTGCATCAAGAAGTAGACATAAGGGGAAAAGATCAAGCAAGATTATTCCAATGGTAAATTCCACTGTTGTCCTTCCTAGGATGTCAAATATGTCCTACCTCTCCACCTGACTTCAACTTTTTCCTTCAGCCTAAGCCATCAGAAACCTTTTTTTGTTTTAAGCAGAGAGAGATATGGAACCCAGCTTAAGCAACAAAAAAGTATATGGATCAGGCCACTGAAAATCCAGTAACAGATACTGAAACTGTGGTCTCCTGACTCATGTTATCAAAAAGTTGACACTAATACCTGTAAAATATGAACCTCTACAGGAACTTGTCCACTCTGGGAAACTGTGCTGTGTTTACTCACAGAAGGACTTAGAACGCTTAATCATGTCCAGCTGATGTGATTTTAAACAAAACTGTCTTTCTCAACATTAAATGGTAACTGTTGCTTCGTATCATTCTAGTTAGCATGCTAAATGTCACTTCCACTTCCTAATATACAGCATTCAGAAAGGATTCTGGAAAATATATGCATTTTTTAAATTGATTTATTTATTGGCTAGGAATACAACTGCAAATTCTCCTCTTCAAAAATTATCACTTCACTATGAAGTACAATGCAAACTCATGGTGAAGATTAAATAAAATAAATAATAGATTGCAGTTTCCCAATTGGTGGCATTTGCCAAATCATCCCATGTATTGAAAAGAAGGAGAACACTTTCAAGATAGCATAGAAGATGAAAGAATTACAGAAAAAAAGAGAAAAATATCTGCACCTATAGGAACCCAATGCAGACATACTAATTACTAAGATTTTCATTGTGTAACAAAGGCTGCTGTTTAGTAAAGACATTAATATCACATTCTGGACTAGTTTACTGTTACGTCATTCTCATTTACCTTATCATAATCACCATTCTTTATTTGTTTATCAGATTTGTTTTGCTTTATTGGACTTTTCACTTCTAAAATCTGGAAAAGAAAGAAAATCCTGTAAAAATTAAATTTTGCATATGAAAAAATAACTGAAAAATCAGTTAATAACACAAAAAATATAACATCCAGAGCAAATGTAACCAAAACTTAAAACTGAGCTTTTCATTCTTTAATCCATACAACTTACTCATATTTTTCAGAAAAAAAGCAGCTTATAGCAAAAAATGCTGTGTTGATGGAATGAGGTGATGTTGGTGTTATTAATCCTTAAAGGAATTAAATTCATATCATTTAAAGACTCCTCAACACTTCTTTGTATCTTCTGCACTCTCATAGGATAACAGATCTGATTCTGCAGATACAAAATAATGCTGAGGTACTCTCCAGTGCATTTGAAAAGTCACATAATCAGTATATTTCTCCTGGTTTTTTTTTTGTTTTTTTTTTTTTCCAATCAATGCTGTCTCTTTTCTTTTACACTAGAGATTTTGAAACATAGTCTTTGAAATGACCACAAGAGTTGTAACTGAAAAAATGTTTGATTGTAATTTCTCTTGCACTTATATGGCACCCTTCCTTTAATGGCATACAAAGCCATTTACTGTCACTTATACAAACCAAGGATGCTTCATCCAATACTGAACTACAGTCAAGAAGAACATGTCAGCAAGCATAAGAACATCACACTTAGAATGAAACTTTTAGGACTAAAGTGAGGAATATTTTGGAGAAACAGAACTGTTGATTGTTCTTCCATTTTTTTCCACATACAACACACATTTTTTTAAGTTAAGAGTAGAGTTAAAAAAATAAATAAATCACCATGTCATTCCAAACCCAGAATATAATCAGTTCTTCTCAAAAACATCAAAGGAAAATAAATAATCACAAATGATGCAAGATTTTGGTTCACATTTCATTGTAAGTAAGACTAACATCACTAGCATGATTATCTTCAAAACCACACTTGACAGTCAAAACACAGGACAAAACTCAGCAAATAAAACAAGAAAATAAGGCCTGTAAAAGCAAGTCTAGAGCAGCAAGAAGCCTAACAGACAGCTTTCTGTAAGTTTCCTCTCATTTCTACTTCTCTTGGTATAAATGACTAAAATTGCATATATGCTCCCCAGGGTGACCAGTACCATAAAAATACAGCAGGCGGACAGCTATTTCCCTACATAGAGAAAGTGACTGCAGATCTGAGTAAACTTTACACAAGGATTTATTTAGCCAAAACTGATATATGGCCAGAAAGCAAAACATATGTTTCTGAAGAAAAATCCCAGTTCTTCAATTCAAAATCCCCTGGGGTTACTGCTGTGTAGGCCAGTGGAAGAAAAAGTATTGTTTTGAAAAAACCCAAACCTCTAGGAATGGATCCAGTACCTTTAAGGTGCTTTTCTTGTTTTTAAAGGAAGAAAATTATTGGTTTCAAGTAGAACCTTAGCAAGAACATGGTATATTTGAAAAAGCTGCTTCTTTACAATGCTCTTGATGTATAATTGAAATCTAACATATTAAGCTCTCTTGTTTAGATGAGACACAGCACTAACCAAATCTGAGGAAGCTTATAGAAATATTAACTCTTAGCTCTTTAGTCCTATGAATGGATTTGGTCAACACAAGCCCAATTTCATCAGTCAAAAGCATCATCCTGGCAAGCAGCACTATGCTACAAAGCAGAGATTTCAAATGTGGCTACAGTCCATGTAATTTGAATTCTCATAACGCTTCCCTAAATTTCTGATTTTCAGCTCAATTATAAAAGTTAGCTTAATTATAAAAATGGAAGAAGGTATGTGACATTCAATTTTAGCTGGCACAGTGCTATTGTTTGGTGTCTGAAAGTGCAGGTAGACCTGTCAGATTACCAGAGGGGAAAGGAATATGAAAGATGTGGCTGAGTGGACTGCTGATACTGGAGACTTAGAATTACCTAAACAATTACGTTGCCTCTGTAGAAGTTAGCCTTCATTAAACAACAAGCTATAGATAGGTGCTTTATTTTTTTCTTGTGTTTATGTCTCTAGTAAATGTAATATTCTTCATCTTTATAGTATGCTTTTTTCCCCAAAAGACTCTCTCTTAAAAACTTGCAACTTTTGTACAATCAACTAAGAAAAGCTTAGCTTCTGGTGGATGAGAAAAATTATTTCTGTACATGGAATCCTCTTCTCTCTGTGTGCAAACTACTTCCTAGGGTTTTTTTCTCCACAGTCTATTTGAAGTTAACTGACATGAATAATAATGGTTCTTTTTGCAATATCAGTAAGCTTGTATTGGAAATGTTACTAGAAAAATAATGACAAGTAAATAATTTCTGCCATATAATTGAAGCAGTTCACCTAAGAGATAGAGGAAAGACGCAGCCATAAAACACACCTCTAAACCACAAACTTTTGTTAATACATGCGGGCACTATTGTAACCATACCAATACTGCAAGCAGCCACTTACTGACAGTCAGTAAATTTCATGACTGCTTTGTGTAATGATCCAGCTAACACTATGATTGAATTATGGCTCTCTAAAATCAGTGATAAATGATGCAGTTTATAAATCATGATTTTAAAAAAAAAAAATACCAGCTTTTATGTTTAATGTTTGTATTTAAGGAGTCTTACTTTATTGTTGACTGGGGGTGAGGTAGCTCCCAAACTCTAATTTTCATTTGTCTCTGACGTGAAAACAGAACTACGCTACTTTCCTACCTCACAAAGAATAACAATGTTAGCTCTTACAGATGTAGAACAACTACTCTGATAGTGAAGTAAAAACTATTGTGTCTTCTACTGAAGTAAAAAATATTTTACCTTCTAGATAAACACTGGTGGAGAAGAGGTGAATGAATAAACTGCTGAGAATGAGCCTATTGATACAAACTGTGTGTATTGCTAATACAAACCCAAACCTGTGTTAGTTGTATAACTGATGCTATAAAGCCAGTTTGAATTGCTTACCTTACAAAGCTAAGTCATACAGAAGGGACACATTTCTTAAAATACTCTTAAAAACATTACTTTGGCCTACAGCATTTGCTAAACTAAATACTTCTCCTTCTCCTGAAAAAAAAAAAATAGCCCTTATGTGATTTTACAGCATAATTAGCTTCACGGAAGTAATCAAGATGTTATTATGAACAACCTAAGACTGCATTTATGAATCCTAAGACTTTACCTGGTTGTTGTTGGTTTTCAGTAAAGGTGGTGCTGGTTCATGGCATAGTAGTGGTGAGGAAGCTGAATTGCTGTCACTGTCACTGCCATCACTCAGACTAACCCTATGGAAAAACAGAGCCGAGAGTTTACACCTGCAGACAAAGTGCTGTTAACAGGGGTGAACTGAGCTTGCACTGTCAGGTAGGACACTAAGAATCACCCCTCACTAAGCAAGCCATCATTAATCAAGGTCATGTGGAAGAGAGGCATCTGAGCGGGGTCCCAATCTGAAAAAAGCTTTGCACAGCACAGAGAAAGAGGCTGTCTGCCTGCACTAGGCTGGGATGACATGTCCAGTTAACAGCAGCTGACATTGCAGAAATGGTTAAATATTTAGAATATTAAACTGCTGTTCCCAAAGTTCCTGGATCAAGCCCATATCTCAGTTCAGAGCCATGTGGAAGAAGGAAAATGTTTCTTAGAGATACATTTCTAGTCTTCTAAAAACTTTCTAAATAGCTGTTCTTCTCACTTGGACAAGTGTTTCACTGAAAAGGTCCACCTTTCTCATCATAAATAAAACTTTTTCCTGGCTAAAATTTAAAAACTTGGTATGTCAGGAAAGGCCACAAGAAAAAGCTCAGTTCCTAGTCAGTCCCACCCTTCATTTACTTAGGAACAGCAGGAAATACCTATTTGTTGGAAGAAAGAAAGTAGTTATTTGGGATAAAAAGAAGGCAGAGAAACATTAGCCTTAAAAAACTGAAACAAAATCTCCACACTTTTGGAGCTGAGCTTGAGACAATCCTTTATGCAATCACTGTCATGAACAAATTCTCAAACTGCTAGTCATCTTCGTCTTTTTCTCCTTGATTCCTGCTGCTAACGTGCAACAAGGAAGCAGATGACATTCATTAATGTTTGCCTATTACCTCCCCATTTAAGCAGCAGCTGTCACTGGCGCTCGTGTGCTGTGCACTCACAGCAGAACCCTCTGGATAAGATGAAGAACCCACTATGGAAAGTCTTGTGAGAGACTGGTTTAGGTTTTCCATTCTGTTTACGCTCTTACATATTACCTACTGTATGCAGTGCAGAAATTACTTGGAATTAAGATTTCATTGATTCTGATCCAATTTAACAACTTAATCTAAAACTGGTTAGCAGAGAGATCTTGAAAATGAGACACTGTACAGAATAGCTCATCCGGCAATTGAAGAACTTAATTTTATCTCATTTATGCCAGAGAGTAATTATGACTACTCCTCTGAAGTCACAGTGGCATGAAATCAAGAAAAGTCAAATGAATGAAAATCATCATAACCACATGAATTAGTACAGAAATAGTTCGTATTGAGAATGGTTAATTCTGTTAGTTTTTAGAAAGGGCACTTATACATGCATAAGCTTTAAAAAGAGAGTGAATTCTCTGCCTATTTGCTACTCAGCCCTCTCTAAGATAGACCTCAACTCATTACGAACAAGCACCTCTTGGCCATCACCCTACTTGCAATCACAAGACACTCACCTTCGACTCTTGCTTCCACCTCTTGTATTTACAGGTCGTTCCAACTCAGAATCATTGTCATTCTCATCTGCTTCATCTGATTCATCTTCATTATCATCTGAATGCAGATCTTTCATTATAGACCTCAAAGGACCTGAAACAACAGAGACAATAAAATACACAAATGAAGTTCACTTCGAAGTGTTCCAGGAAATTCATGCAGCTTTTTAGATGATAGAAAACTACCCTTCCCACACAGTCCTGGGAAGGCAGAAGTAATGCACTGGGCACTTATGCTGCAAGGACTTATCATGAATAATTTACTCACATGAGCAGCTGGGCTTCAATGGACTTACTCAAAAGAGTGAAGTGACTTTTAAGTTCAAGTGTGTGCAATATTGGTCCGCTGGGCCATAGCTGAGGTAAGTAAAATACTGTCACACCAGGACAAATTGACGATTACTGTATCATTATTGACATGAAGATTATTTTGCATTATTAGGGTTTAGCATTTTTTGCTTTCTCAGAGGGTTTTATATACGAGTAAATATCTACAGGGGCATACTGATCAGCAACAGTACATTTGTTAGCTTAACCCGTGTACTGAGAAGCAAAGTCTAACAAACTCTAACTCGTACTGGCCAAGGCAGACTTTGTCTTCCTGTTTTTTATATATTTAGCTTTAGCTGTTCCCTTTATTTCAGGGTCAATTTCAGGTCAAGTAAGCACTTTGCAAATGTTCATATGTAAGAAGTGCATCAACCCCATGCAACACTATGCTATCTCTTTTCCTGAATTAACAGAAGGTACAAAGCTTGACTTGCTCATAAAACTGCATTAAAAACTGCATCCAGTTTGGGATTTTCGTTTGATTTTACTCAATTTATTTTGCTGTAAAATAGTTACACAAAGAGGAGAGGAATATGTTTAACATATCAGGGAAATGTAAAGCTACAGCCTCTTGAAATAAGAACAGGCAAAAGCAGCTTAGAAGAGGGAAGGAAGCAAGAGTGATGCCACAAGGCATTTAACTCTGAAATACAGCCCATCTGAGACATGAAGCAGCAAGCAAAAGCAACAGTGATGGCTGTGGTAACAGCAATTGGTATTGGGGTTCTGTAATTCCTTCAGCCCAAGAAAGACTAACATGAACAAAGTGAGCCCCAAAGTGTTCTTCAAATGGACATGAAGCTTGCAACCTCTATTTGATAATGGTGAAACAGAGTCAAGGAGTGTTATTCTTGGTCACTGACAGAGAAGAAAGTAGACCTCTGACTGTCAGGGTCATACTCCTAACAGGGAGGATGTTCCCTTCATGGAAGGAACAGCTTTATGGATTATTCCAGATCTAGCAAGGCTCAGGTCACAGGCATTTGTACTAGTATTGTGCAGGTGACTTCAAAGGCAATATTGAGAATTATTTACCTCTAAGTTTACACTAGAATTTCCGTAAATTGGTGCAGTTTGGGCAGATTCAGATCAGTGGATTCTCTTCTCTGTTTTAACACCCTAAGGTTGGCCAGGCAGAATCCCATATGGTGCTGTTGGGCAAATTCCTGGTGTACCAGACACTTGTACAGGCAACAAGGAAGGATGAGCTGTACTAAATTGCTTCTTGTCCACGCAACCACCACTAATTTGCAGCAGCAGATGATCTGTGCTCCATTTTCTGTTCCTCTTTGGGTCTCAGGTAGACAACACTCAGCTATTTGCAAAATGGTAATTTGTAGTCTGGCTGAATATCTAATTATCTGACCCCTGAAGGAGGGAAAGGACTCCTTCTTTGGCTTTTAATAGGAACAGTAATAAATATATTTCCTTTAAAAGGGATGAGAGAGGGCACTCTCAGCGGCATCAGCACATGGATGAAGGAAGAATTTGCTCATTTTGATCTTTTGAAGAATGTTCTTATTGGCTGGTTTGAGTGTCAAGGTGGGTGAATGAGAGACATGGTGTAGGGAGCTAAAGGGCTATAGGGAGGTAAAGGGTTAGAAAAGATAATTAAATTATAAATACACAAAGAAGGATTCCAAGTTTCAAGACAAAAGGGTAGAACACAAGAATATTTCCAAAGACTAGGCTTAGCCTAGAAAGGCTAGTTTCCCTTCACCTTACTGGGCAAAGACACTAACACACGCACCATCAAAGTCCTACTGAGGATGGTTTTCTTTGTCTGTACTGAGAGTAGATGAATCTCATTCCACTCCACAGGCCAAAGTCAGCTTCTGAGAATGCATTCATCTCCTCTCCACAACACACAGGGGAAAGAAGATGATAGAAAAGACTTGGTGAAGGACAGATGAAAGGAAAGCATCATCATATTTTTGATGAATGAGCAGAGGTAAAGGTCAGTAGGAGGAAATGTAAAATGATCAACTAAAATCTAATTTTGTAATGGAATTTAGTATGACATATGAATAGCTGATCTTGCATAAAACACCAACACATAACTCCACAACATGGAAACTGGTAGTTATGCTTGCAAGTCACACAAAACATCAGTACTTGATTTTATTTTTAAATGGAAGCAGAAAGAAAATAAGCACGCATTCCTCATGATCCCTAACAGACTGCTCTCTCAAGCTTAAGCTAACTCACTATTCTTGCCTATGTCCTTTTTCCAAGTATAGCAGAGGGCCATTTTATCCCCTGATATGCCCTTGCTGTGTTCTGGGATAATCAGACAGTCCTGTCTCAAGTTGCCAACAGACTTATTCCTCTTTCTTGGAGGAACAGGAACTTGTACTCCAGTGACACATCAGTCACTGAGGCACTGAACAACTTATCATTCAGACAAGTTTTCACTTAATGTAGGACTACATCTGGGATGCTGAACAGGCATTTTGTATTCAGCCAGCTAACTTTTTCAGAACACTTTCCTAACAATCAGCAAAGCATTAATTTTCAGGTATTTTAATTCTACAACTGATAGTGATGTCACTGTTAATCTTCTGCTCCTTGCTAACAATTTAAAATTTCATGACAAACTTTTTAAGGGTTTGAGAAGTTGTTATCTCCTAAAGGGTCAGAATAGTTAAGGGGAAACTGAAAACTAGGAGCTGCTCAAGAGCAAGTGTTCTTGATAAGGAAATATCAGAGTAAGCCCCAGGGGCAGAAGAACTTGAAGAACCTTAGGTTAGCCCACTGCTAATGTAAAAAGAGGCAAAAAAAAGTTAATGCTGCAGTTTTCTGACACTTGAGTGAGCAGTGGAGTTTGAATAGAACAGAAAAAGAGCAATGGCCCTGAAGAGTAACTTCTAGTTAGGGAATAAAAGTGTGGGTTCTGACCAGAGCCCAGCATACAGTGTGAACATGCCATAGTATGCCTGGTGCTTCATCCCCTTGATACACAAATTAATGCATTTAGTTAACTGGAACTCCCAGAAAAAAGCAGTAATTACTAATTACTGTGGCAAGAAAGAGAAGATGTATATACCACTTGTACTTCACAGTGGTTTACATCAGAGGAAAAATCTCCCATCTATTCTTGAGAAGGTACAAAAACCTGATAGACTGTGATATGTCTTACATATGATCCAGAAGAGATGGATAGATCCAGTCTGCTCAGAAGAAAATACTAAGTCAACAGATTTTTGCCCAACATAATGGATATAGGAATAAGCATCCAAGTCTTTTGTCTTGTGATGGACAATTCACACCACTAATGAGGTTTTCATGAGAGCAAAAATAGGATTTCAGCAAGAAGGGGTTCTGTTTAGCCTTAGGTAAAAATCAAATGCCTGAAGCTGGTCATCAACCACAGTTCACTTCAGCTCTTGCTTTATTTCACCTGGAGTAAGCTGCCAGAACACATTAGAAAATCACTACCAGTCACCTGCAAAGGCAGTAGGACAGATACGCATCATGTGTAGATCTATTTAAAAACAAACTGTCTGTCTGAGATATTGATGTCTGTCCATAAACTTAAATCAAGTCTACCACTGAGGAATATAAATGGCTAAAGCAAATGAAATTTTAATTACTCAAAAGCTGCTTCTTTAATGCTCCTGATCCAAAGAACAAAATAAAAGCTGATTAAGAATGTATCAGTTGTACAATCTTATAAACCCAGGGAAAAAGGCCAAGCAGAAACTAAGTAGATTAATAGATCATGTAGAATGAATCTCTTATTTAGAGAAAACCTGTGAGTACTTGTTAATTTCTCTGTGAAGGAAAATACATTTCTTTACTGAGTTCCAAGTAAACCATAATCATTAGCCAGAAAACTAAAATGCAAACTTAAAGTCAACTTTAAGTCTAACCATCATCTTCCCCTACCATGTATCTAACGTAAGTACTGTATGCTTTTAAAACATCCCAATAGTATGGGAAGATCACAGCCCTTTTTAAGGGTCCACATACACATATCCTTGATCTTCCCACAGGAAGCCATACCTTTCTGAGAAGGGCTTCACATGGAGCCAGGTGCCATGCTACCTGACCCTGCAAAAGGACAACCTCAGAAACAGAAGCTCTTTTGAGTTTAGCATCTGTTAAGTGACTGGCGTGTATTTAGTGCTTCAAACAAATACTTCGCACCCTTTTCTCAAATATACATTTTCTCCCCTTTTATTTTCAGCCACAGCTGAAAACCGACACTCTAAAGGAAAACTGTGGCCAGTTCAGGCTATGGAAGGTGCCAGAAAAGTGGTAGTGAGATGCCATCAGTTCTGTTTTTATTGGCCCCTTCATTTCACATGTTCCTTTCAATTTGTTTTCCTTTGTTAGTACCTTGTTGTCTGTTGTTTTGAGATGGTGTAAAACTGGAACTGGAACTGGAGCTGGAACTGGCAGGACTGGGCTGTTCAGACTTAAAAGGAAAAAAAAAAAAAAAAAAAAGAAAATAAATAACATTGTAAGAAACATTTTTGCCTAAAACCCTTACTGTTAGTTACTGCCTAAGGCACGCTGTCAATAAAAAAACAAAACAAAACAAACAACAAACTACAGAACAGAATAATACTCAAAGATCTTTATTTTGGGTATCACCTGAGGTAAACATAGTGGAAATTGCTATGCACTTGGCATATATACACACTACTGCATCACGTCTAATTCTTTACTGAAGCCAAAACCCTAACAAGAAGTTCCCAACAACTTGTTTGGAAGGCTACACAACAAGATTTTTAAAACAGAGTTGTTAAAATCAGTTTACATTATTTACATAAAATTCTATATATTGTTTTCTCACTATTGTTTACAACTTATAAATTTCTCTGTAAAACTCTATAACATTACTGAGAAAGTTTTCTGACTCTCCTTGCTTGTACAATAACCCTCATGACTGTTAGAACTAAATTGCTCTCAAAAATAACAGCAGTAATATCCAGACACTGTAAAACTCAGTTTTCATGCACACAGGCTACCTAAGCCTAGCAGTTGCTTCTTCTCCATAAATCAATCTATTGTTGCCTTTCATAACGAGCAGGCAGATTTACAGCCTTTTACCGCCTTTTCTCACAATGAGAGATGCCTATTTAGGCAACAGAATGCTTGAGGAAAACACTACTAACATCTGCTCTCCTGAAATCAACACCAGCTCCAGTTCTCACAGACACATAGTTAAAATACAAACTCTGGACCTGCCTGTATGGGTATATACTGCTTGTATACAGATGAATCAACCCTGTGCAAGAAGACAACCCAACAAACAACACAACCCATTGCTGAGTACTGAGAGAGATTCTTACACAGTCCACATCATCAGACCTTTTTGGAATACACTGCAGCATCACTTGGTATGGAACACACTGCTCTAAAAATCAAGTAATTCTGAAAGAATTTTTTTTTTTTTTTTTACTGCCTGAACTTCTGCAGAACCATACAAAATTTTTAGCTGTAAAATAATTATGATAATGTGAAACAGACTGCACCGATGAAGAACAAGAGTCAACGCAAACTTTAAAGACATCACCATTCTGGAAACTAATTTCAGTCTTACAGCTTCAGGTTACTCTTAAACATCTGGTTTATCTGCCACTTGCTGCTTTTTGCAGCAAAATTACTAGCTGACAACTGGTTTATGCAGATTTGCATTAACTATATTTTTTCTTTATTAATAACAACATGAACTTTAACTTATGTAAAATCCATTTATTTAAAAAAGTAACAAACACCAAAAGACTATCATATTCTCTTTAAAGTACCTGAAGAAGTGCTAAAACTGCAGGGGAAAAAAAATCACACAGGTGTGGAGATATTTGTGACTATTAAAACTTCACTACTTTCTTTTTGAACCAGTTTACTGGAAATAAAAAAAAAATAGGAAAGGCCTGGTCTCATTCACATTATAAGGCATGCAAACACCAGTGAAATTCCTCCATGTCAGAATTTTCTCCCAGCATTAACTAACTGAGATAGGATCACAAGAAGGAATGGATATGAACACATATAAAGTTGTTAGAATACTTTCCTGGTAAAAATTTTGCTCTGCTTTAGCAAGATCAATTTGTGAAGCCAGACCATAGAAAGTCCCAGTGAAACAGAAATAATCATCCATACTCTTTTAAAAAGGGTTCTTAATGACTCTTGAAACAATTTACACTATTTCCTTAAATGGCCCTGTCTGAAAATTTATTCAAAAAAATATAGATTATCATAAATGTTAAAATTGTTTAGTATCGGAAAGTAAAACTAGCTTTTATGACTTTGAGAAATCTGAGGTGAGAGCACACCCAGAGGAAACAGCTGCTTTTAACATAATAATGAATGTTATTAACAGAAGAGACTTGCCTTTTTAGAAGGAACTAAAAATATGCCTTCCATAGATGAATATGGATTAGTGCCCACAGTCCCATGCTTCTAGTTACCAGAGGCTATCTTTTGCCACTTAGGCAATGCTTTTTGACAGTTTTCCAGGCTGTTTGCCCAAAGATTTAGGTATTTATAGCTTTATTCACTTGGGCTTCCTCCTCTTATCCACTGGTTACTAATCACCAAACAGATTTTTTTTTTTTTTTTTTTTTTTATGGGACTGAAATTAGCTAAAGGGTGTCCTTCAGCAATAAAAGTTTAAGACAGCATTTGCAAAGAGCTTCTCTCATATGGCCTCTTCCTGTTTTACAGGTTTTCTCTTCTTGTAGACAAGCTAATGAGAGTTCAGGCCCAAACTGTTCATCAGTGCAATGACCTGATATGATTAATTGCATTCTTAGACAGTATTTCATTTTAGTGCTCTCACACGGATGCACGAGACACTGGCTTCTTTATTAGGCGTGGTTGAGAGATTCTGTGCTTTGAAACTGTTTGTCAAGAAAAGGGACTTCCCTTTGGATTGTGTTTTCCCTGAAATGGTACCTCTTTCACCAGCTCTAAATCACTTGGCTCTGTCATTTCCAAACTCTTGTTTGTTTCTACAAGTAGTACAACTTACTCTTGAGCTGCAAATAATTTTCAGGCAAACTCACCTGTTTATCACACAGGATATAAAAGAGCTGTTTCTGCAGTGTTTCATGGTTGTCCAAATTCAGGTAAGTTCTTCTAAAAATAACCCCCATCATTTCAAGCTCCTTATCTACATTAAAAAATATAAAATATCTGTATGTGGGTAATAATATCTTTTCTTGCCTACCCCTAAACTGTTTTTAAGGAAAGCTTACATATTGTTTCCTGAAATAAAATTTAAGTGCTGTACTAATATTCAATTTCATATCAGCCAGCCTACATATTTCCTATTTTTACACACAAAAGTCTAAAGATTTATGTTTCACTGTGACACACATACTGAAAAGTCTCTCCACTTAAAAATGCTTATAACTGTCTATTACTTCCACTTCTACCTTTTCTTAAGTTAGCTTCTCAGGGAGGAGGAACATGCTCCCACCAAGACAAGCCTCCTTCTCTAACGGTGTTGCAGTTACCTTAATAAAACAGTTTGAATCCTAGAATATTATTTTGATTTTAGTTTAAAAGTATGATTTTGATTTAACATGAAGCTACAGTAGCTATGAGAATATAAAGTACACTGAGGCCCTTAGGATTAAGCAACTAGTATGCTGTGTGCCTTGAACACTATAACAATCGTTACGGACTCTGAATTAACACAAAAGGTACTGGTTATGGATCTTGACTTGAAACAATAGGTACCAGAGGAAAACTGGTTTGGTTGGGGAAGATCGGCCAAGGGAGAGGTGAGCGTTAGCCAAAGATGGAGTGAGCATGTGCAAGGATGGAGCTCAATCAGCGGACACAGTGATGAAGACTATCGACGACTACCAGAGGACCCCCGTCCAGTATAACCACGCATGTGTTAGGGACATTTGCATATGATAATAATTCCCAGGAAATAACATGAATATGCTAATCATTGCCCTCCCCCCCTTCTATTTAAATCAGTCAGTAAAGATGACCAATGATTTCTGTAGAATAGGAATATAGGTAAGGTGAGGTAACTAAAAGCCAATCATTATTAAGGTCAACTTAAACTTTATGAATTTTGTTGATCTTATGTAACCATGACTCTGCTGAAAAAGTGTATAAATATGTTGTGCTTTGTACCTGTTGGTGAACACGTCTTTGGCGGAGTTATCCCCCGTGTTCCCCAGCGCTGGAATAAAGAAGTGCCTGCTTATCTGCTGGGTGTAGATAAATTCTTTCGGGACTGCGACCGCTAACAACAGGACTCCTGTACTTACAAGTTCTATTGTCTCTTAAGCGCTCTGTCATTGACCATTGCCTCAGCTTTAAGTGGAGCAGTCCAACCCATTTGTAGCTCAAAGGACAGAACAATCCCACCTCATCCACCAAATGTCCGCATCAGCCACCACCAAGAGGAGACACCGTTTGGGTGTCTGTGATACCATAAACCTGAACTGAGCTTTCTGTACCCTGCCCTAATTCTGTATCACCACAACTCCTATCAAGCTGCCACATTACCAACCAACCTTCAAGGCAGGGTAAAACTGCTTCTTTTCAAGCATTCACAAATTTAGCTTGCAGATTGCTAGCTCACAGGGAAGGTGGAAGACAAGGGGTATGGAGTGGGAAGTGGAATTAAATATTTTCTTATAGAAATTGAAATATTTATTCGTAACTATGACATTTAAAGCACTAAATTATTTAGAGAGGTATTTTAAGATTAAGGAGATATAAAATTTAGACAGGAAATGTCAGATTATTTATTTTTGACAGGAAGCAGAGATGGCAATTTGGCTGAGAATGTGACCTAAAGTACTGATACAATTAGCTGCCTTAATTATTTATAGCAATTTCAAGCAAAAATTCTGTATCACCGAAGAAGATGAGTTTGTTAATTAAGTTTACTCTGTACCTGCTACTTGAGCAAGTCCATGGGCCCTGATGGGATGCACCCTTAAGTGCTGAGGGAGCTGGCTGATGTCATTGAGAGACCACTCTTAATAATCTTTGATTCATCATGGTGAGCGGGAGAAGTGTCCAAACATCAGAAGAAAGCAAATGTCACTCCTATTTTCAAGAAGGGCAGGAAGGAGGACCCAGGGTACTTCAGGCTGGTCAGCCTCACCTCAATACCTGGGAAGGTGATGGAGCACCTAACCATTTCGAGGCACTTCAGGATGAGAAAATCATTAGGAGTAGGCAGCATAGATTCCTCAAGAGGAAGTCATAACTGATCAACTTGATATCAGCTTCTGTGATGAAATGACTAGCCTGGTAGATGAGGGGACAGCAGTGCATATTGTCTACCAGGGCTTCAGTAAAGTCTTTGACACTGTCTCCCCTAAGATCCTCATAGATAAGCTGTTGATGTGAGGGCTGGATGAGCAGACAGTGACGTAGACTGAAAACTGGCTGAATGGTCATGCCCAGAGGGTGGTGATCAGTGGTGCAAAT